AGAGGGATAATAAGAGGAATACACTCCAGCATATCAAGATGATGACACTTCTCACCATTAGTGGGACAAACTTCTTGTGTCTTAATTGTGGTGACATAACTCCATGTTTTACTTTGTGGCCATCTTCTCCCACATCTTTGAAATTCTTCTATATATTCATCAGGGCACTGTGAGGTATTAATATTCCCATTTTACAGATGAGGAACATGGGGCTCAGAGGTGTTGCATGGCTTGAGTAGTATTGCAGTTTGTCATTTGAGCCCTCACATGCCTCACTCCAGAGTCTGTCCCGATTCCCCTGCATCTCTCTGCCTCTTGTGTTGCAGGTGGTTAACAAAGGACCTTGGGTTGGTGGGCACTGAGTTGGCAGGGAATGCGAGGGCACGTGGATTTGGGCAGTAAAGAAGAAAAACCATATTTCTTCTACTATCTGGTACATTTCCCCCTTTAAAAAATAGATGCAATTAGACAATCAGTAGTTATTTCTAATCTTCTCTGTATTTTCATTTAATCCTCCCACAATATATAGAACCCTTAACAAAAAATACGTGCAATAAGGCAGGGGTGGGTACATGCTAGATGCGAAAGAGAATGTGTTGAAGTCTTCAAAATACTGTTTGAATGGAGCGTCATCAGAGAATGAATGAACAAATGAACCAACCAATAGACCCAAAACATTCCAATATCTGTGTAAGCTTTGACTGCTTGACATGAAGCATTTTTACCGACATCATGTGTTGGCTATACCGATGATTCTAAAATACCCCTGGGTAAAGGGTGAATTTTCTTATGCCTACATCTATAGAGGGATAATAAGAGGAATACACTCCAGCATATCAAGATGATGACACTTCTCACCATTAGTGGGACAAACTTCTTGTGTCTTAATTGTGGTGACATAACTCCATGTTTTACTTTGTGGCCATCTTCTCCCACATCTTTGAAATTCTTCTATATATTCATCAGGGCACTGTGAGGTATTAATATTCCCATTTTACAGATGAGGAACATGGGGCTCAGAGGTGTTGCATGGCTTGAGTAGTATTGCAGTTTGTCATTTGAGCCCTCACATGCCTCACTCCAGAGTCTGTCCCGATTCCCCTGCATCTCTCTGCCTCTTGTGTTGCAGGTGGTTAACAAAGGACCTTGGGTTGGTGGGCACTGAGTTGGCAGGGAATGCGAGGGCACGTGGATTTGGGCAGTAAAGAAGAAAAACCATATTTCTTCTACTATCTGGTACATTTCCCCCTTTAAAAAATAGATGCAATTAGACAATCAGTAGTTATTTCTAATCTTCTCTGTATTTTCATTTAATCCTCCCACAATATATAGAACCCTTAACAAAAAATACGTGCAATAAGGCAGGGGTGGGTACATGCTAGATGCGAAAGAGAATGTGTTGAAGTCTTCAAAATACTGTTTGAATGGAGCGTCATCAGTGTGGTTATGGTTTGGGTAGTTTATTTCTCTATTTTATCTCGGACTAAAAGCCCTTAAAGGTGGATTGAAAGCGTATGAGCAGATTTCCTACTCCAGCTCTGGGTGCCATGAAACAGACTCGTCAGATGCAGCTCTTCTGCAAATACGTAGGTCACAGAACAAGGGCTGATGACTCCCGTGTGCTACATCTGCAGCTGGAAATCATGCTTTGGCAAGAGCAAGAGTAATTTATATCTTGTAAAAAGAGAAAAGTATTGTCTTATTCCGACCAGATAGTTTGTTAGCATAACTATTTGTGTGCATTTTAGTATTCAAATACAGATGTTCCAAAATGTTTCCATTGTGGGAAGCAGCTGCTGCTATTCTAGCACAAAAATCTCAAGGAGATTAATATACAAAGGCAGCGTGAACCTTAGTGACAAATGTAGCATCTGCTTGAGGTGGGGTCTGTGATCCCCCATCGGCAGTAGGTCTTCAGATTCTTGCTCACAGCCTGAAACCATGTTTCAGATCTAAGCTTATTCTACAGGAACAGGAACAAAGACACATGATTAATTTGTAATTCACTTTGCTGATAAATATCATCACATGTGATTTGCCCAGGGGCTGTAAAACACTGGACTGCATTTCCTGTGGCAACTGATAGGAATATAGATGTTTGGACATAGTGACTGATATTTGCAGTTGCCTGTGCTCGCTTCTGCCTGGTAGCAGAGCTCAGCGCAGCCAGCTTGCAGTCATAAAACATCCATCAACACCTTAGCAGTGCATTCACAGAGAATTCTGCAGTTCACTCAGGGCCCTGGCGGGCACCCTTCATCTGATCCCATCCTGGTGCACTGTCATTACCAGCACGATTTACATGTTGAGAACACATGCTGATGAAGTGAAATAACTTATCGGGGTTACAGAGCCGGGGCCTCCGACTCTAAATCCTATTCCACTCTTACGTTACATCAAAGCTGTCTCTTTAATTTCAGAGGCTGTGATGTGTCTTCACAGATTACATCACCCTCTCTGGAGATGCTGGTTTCCAGGACACCCACTGTGAAGAGTCCCAGGCTGGCAGCACTGCCTGGAGCTGGAGGGTGCCAAGGAAGAGCTGATGCAGAGGCCTTGCTCTGCCCCCCACGCCCCGGAGGGGCATGCCCAAACACTCCCTTCCCTCCTGTTCAGAGAGCCTTCAGCAAATGAGCTTCTGGGTCTCCCTGGCATTTAGAAAAATGAAGAACCAGTGACAGAAGATCCCAGGGCTGTCATCTGGAGCTTCCATAAACCAGGAGTTCCTCAGAACAGTGATGCCTGGGGTGTGGTGCTTGCCCCAGGCCTTGTAAATGGGTCCCCTGCAGTGTCCAAGGGCTCCAACCAGATCTGCTCTTTGGAATTACCTAGTGAATCATTTATGGTTTACACATTTGACAGAGGCTCCTGGCTAAGTTTGAAAACACTTGGTTTCTTGCTTACTGCTGGGGCCTAGAAACATCTGTCTGGAAAACAACGCTTAGAGAAGTTAAGATTCTGAAGTTCCCAAGGCTATTAAAGGGCAGTGCAGTTCTGAAACAAGAGTGTCTCCTGCTAAGTCACACCAGCTCCATAGTGAGAGAGCCAGCCATGTGTTTTACTTTGAGGGCAACAGTTCCCGGGTAGGAGGGTTTGTGGACTGTGTCCTGTCCCCTAACCAGGCGTGGAGGGAGAAGAACTCCAGAGAGTAAGGTGGCCGAGGGCCAGTTACACAAATGGAGGATGGAGGCTGAGTCCCTGGGCCTGCAGCAAAGGAAGGAAAGGAGACTGTCAGGCCGGGAGAAGGGAGTTTTTGCCGTAGGAAGGCCCACATGCAGTGTGCTGACAGGAAGGCCTAACCTCTGGGCCTGTAGAGGCTCCTCAGGTGGGAACCTGAGGCCGGTACGCATCCATGTGGCATGCTCCGTGGTGACATCACCAGTGCTTCCACCAGACTCACACTGCTACGGCTCTGTGACTTTCATGGAATCATTTCTGCTCTCTGCCACTCAGAAAAAAAACAAAGAAGTAAATTTCTAGGTATTTATTTCTTCTCTATTTTCCTAAATCTTTTGTTGGAACATCTGTGAAGTGATAAAAGCCACTTAAAACCATATGAACCCCTTTGCAAACACATAATTTGCAAGCCTCATAAAGTGGTCAGTGTCTCAATTATTTTGATCAAGAATTGCTGTTTCACAGGCAAAAGAAATATGGTAGCAAGTCACTCACATTTATAAAATATTAGTAACAGTGTTGTGAAGTGCACAGACATCTCATAAGGAAATACCTTTGCTCCAGATGGGTAGCTGTCCCTCGTTGTGACTCCCTAGCCTGGAGGCCTCGTGGAGGTCACTTGCCTACCTGTGACAGAGCGCACCCTTTGTTCTGCCAGGATTGTGGTCATGTTAGGAAGAAGGAGCATCGTGAAGAAAGGGGGATATGTGACCCTGGGTGTAGGCACAGGATGAAGGAAGGGAAGGGTAGGCAAGCCTCCAGCTTGTAGAATGACAGGAAGGGCAGAAAAACCCCAGCATGACTTCCCTTTTATGTCTCTGCAAAGGAATTAGAAACTATAAAGACTAGACTCAAAGACTAAATGTACTTGGTAAGATTCCGGAGCCCATGTGACATCTCATTTGTTATTGTCCCTATTTGGTTCAGTATACTGACATACAGTCATTTTCATGAAAACCTTTAAGACAAAAAGGGCATGTGCAGTTTTCTTTAGAAAATAAATGTGTGAATGACAAGCAGTGGGAAGGGACAAGGAAGACGGCGTCTTTCTGCATGGAGGCTCGGGGCAGAAGAAGCTCTGGGCAAGAAAAGCAAAGCTGGAGAGCCACTGTCGGCCTGAAAAGGGGTGCTGAGACCCACCGGGGGCCACCCCATTCAGAGCCGTAGGTTGTAACCACCCACTGTTTTCCTCTGGGCTCATCCGAATCTGAGCCCGCCACAGGGAGCGGCACTAATGAAGCCACACTGAGGAGACAGAGAGAACAGGACCCTCCAGTGGGTCCTGGGTTACAAAGTTATCAATCATCATTCTGAACATCTGCATTACCACTCATGTATCCATTTGGTCTGGGGGAGAACAAGGCTAGAGGAATGCCCAGGGTGCAAAGAGCCTTGTGTAGATTTCTCCCATGCGTTTCCTATGCTGTATTATCTAGTAATTAATTTTGCTTTTCTTCAACATTTTCTTATACTACAGAGGTTAATAGCGACTAACAGAGGTATAATATCAATATATAATACAAAGATATAGCATCAAGGAATGTATATTAGGAACGGCCATGAGTCTTTATGGTGAAGGCTGTGTGGACTACAACCTGTTTCTGAAACTAGGTGTTGTAAGTTGCTGATTCAATTACCATTATCTTTGATTAGGAACTTGCTGGGTTCTTTTGCAGTTCTGCCTGGGTCTGTGGACTACTTACGGAAACGCTATGAGGAACTGGATGGGACAGTTGTAGGCAAACCCTGTAACATTTTGCTAAAACAAACCCAAGCCATTTTCTGATGTGCTTTCGTTTCTCTGCCTTATCCTTTCTCTCCAGGCAGCTTCAGCAGCCCTGAGCAGTCTGGGCCACGTGTACACCGCCATCGGAGACTACCCCAATGCCCTGGCCAGTCACAAACAGTGCGTTCTTCTTGCCAAGCAATCCAAAGACGAGCTTTCTGAGGCCCGAGAACTCGGCAACATGGGAGCTGTGTACATTGCCATGGGGGACTTTGAGAATGCTGTGCAGTGCCATGAGCAGCATCTGAAGATAGCTAAGGACCTGGGGAACAAGCGAGAAGAGGCCCGGGCCTACAGCAATCTGGGGAGTGCCTATCACTACAGGAGGAACTTTGATAAGGCCATGTCTTACCACAACCATGTGCTGGAGCTGGCGCAGGAATTGGTGGAGAAGGCCATTGAGATGCGGGCCTACGCTGGCCTGGGTCACGCTGCCAGGTGCATGCAGGACTTGGACAGGGCTAAACGGTACCATGAGCAGCAGCTGGGCATTGCTGAGGATCTTAAGGATCGGGCTGCAGAGGGGCGAGCATCTTCCAATCTAGGTAAGGCAGAATTGCTTGCAAGGTCCGGTCAATGCCAATGGCTGGAAATAGCTGGAGTGGCCTGTATCTCCTACAGGAATGTGTGTTTAGATTCAGAAGGACCTCATTACTGCGTGTGTTATGTATTTCCTTCAGATATATTTCCTTGGAGCCTGCCTGCTCTAAATCACATGATCCTTCCTGTCTTCACAGTGCTCTAAGGATTAGAATTCAGAAATAGTGGAAAAACAAAACACCCCAACCTTTTAATCTGTCTAGAGAGAAGGGCGACCAGATTTATCTAATTAGAGAGAAGAGGAATGAAATGAGGATATAAAGCTATGTTTGGTTTCAATGAAAGAGAAGCTGCTAGGAAGTCATCAATGGAAGGGAATTTGAGAAGATTTTTGTTTAAGGGGATTTCTTTACTTAGTCACTTTAACCCCACAGGAAGGGTATTTTTTTTTCCCTCAAAAGTATGTGTATTCACAAATGGTATTGATAATTTTGGTATAAATGCAAAACTATTTTTTTTGAAAAATCTTTTAAAATAGATATGCAGTCACGGTTTTGATACTACTTGCTTAAAAAGACATTTATAAATGTGGGGGAACTTGAATGTCATTGTGAGAGACAGTAAGTATGGGTGACTGGCTCCTTTTTGGAAGACATTGTTATCTTGTCTCTGCACTTAAACAGATGTGGGTGCATAATGAATGCAGGGGGCAGATGAGTTGGGAAGCGTAAGCCGAACTCATCCCTGTGCCTGGAACCCCATGGTGTGTTCTGTGTCCACAGGGACTCGGTGGGGAAGGGACAAGGAGAAGGTGGCCTTAAGTGGCCTTATCTGGCATTAGTAAATGCTTATAAAGTATTAGTAGCAACAGACTGTGAAACTCAGCCACCTTTTCTTCTGTGACCTATAAAATCAAGGCACCCCCACCTCTATTTATATAAGTTTAGCCCTACTTCTCCCTCCCCTCTACCTATGCTTATTGTAACCATGTGTTTTGTGAATATGGTTGTTAGAAAAGTCTGGCAGATCCTTGGAGATGACTCTGAAGATGGTATTGAGATCAGAAAGAGAGTCTTGAGAGTCTCATAAGAACCATAGAAATAAGCTCTTGGCATTGTGTACGCATCCAACAGATTGCTCTCGCTCTCAAAGAGTTTATAATTATTTGGGAAAATAAGACTAATATGTAGGACAACAGGGGCCTCCCTACAAGACAGTGTTAAGGACGTTGCGTGGCCACGAAATCCCTAGAAGGGAGACCCCGAAGGCTGGGATACCCTGGAAACCTTCTTGGAGGAGATTGGACCCAGGCGAACCTTGAAGAATAGGTGAAATTTGGCCTAGAATGGGCTGTCCTTGATGCCAAGAGACATGTGAAAGCAGGTATGAGATGCAATAGGTTGGCATGGTTGAGGGATGGTGGCATGATTAGGCTTCCGGAATGTACTAAATTAATAGGAAAACTAGGCAAGGGATACCCTAGTGAACAAGAATTCTTGAAGGTTTTGAAATGTAAAAGTAGATGGATTAGATATTTAAGGAAGACAAGTCAATCAGTGGCACATAGGATAGATATGAGGTCTTAGAATTTGGAGTTTAGAAGGCTGTGCATGTTGGACTATTCAGATTTTCTTTGTCACCTTGTGTCAGTTTTGAGAAGCTATATTTTCCAAAGACTTTGTTCCTTCCATAAATTATTGTATTTATTGGTATAGAGTTGTTTTAATAGTTCTTTATTTTGCTTTAATGCTTGTGGGATGTATACCCTCTTTTATTTCTGTTCCTGGTACTTTATGTTTTGCACCTGAATCCAACCCCCTCCTCCCCCATGTGCCTTTTCTGGATCATATTAGAGATTCATCAGTTTTCCTGATCGTTTTTAAAGAACCAACTTTTGTTTTTGTTAATTTTTTCTATTGCTCATCTCTTCTGTTTTACTTTTTTCTGGTCTCGTTTTTATAATTTACTTCTTGCTACTTACTGCCTCTGGCTTCTCAAGGTTGAACCTTAGGTCACTGATTTTAGACCTTCTTTCTGCCACAAGCATTTAAAAGTATAAAATTTCCTTTAAATGCTGCTTTAGCTGCATCCAGTAATTTTTGATGTATTATGTTTTGCCTTCATTAACTTTACAATATTTTCTAAAATCAATTGTGATTTCTCTATAACCCCTAGAAATGCTGTTTAATTTTAAAATACTTGGGATTTATGTAGATACTTTATTGTTACCAAATTCTAGTTTAATTTCATTATGGTCAAAGGACATACTTTGTAGGATTTCAGTGGGTGCCATGCTCTGTAGATGTCAGTTTGGTCAAGGTAGTTGATGGTGTTGTTCAGATCATCTTTGTCTTTTTTTTTTTCTTTTGTCTATATATTTTGTCAGTTGCTAAGAAGGAGGTTGTTAAAATCTCCATCTGTTACTGTGGACTTGTCTGTTTCTCCACTTCGTACTGTGAAACATGGCATCATATACTTTGAAACTCATTGGGTGAATATTCATTCACGATCATTTTGTCTTCCTGACAGACTGGCCATTTATCATTATGAAATATCCCTTTTTTATCACTAGTCATAACTTTGTCTTGAAGTCTTTATCTGATACTCCCTCCTTCTTATGTTTACTGTTTGTATAATCCATCTTTTTCTGTCTCTGTGTTCTTTATGTTTCAAGTTTGTTAACTGCAGATTACATCTAGTTAGGTCTTCTTTATGGACTTTCATAGTCATGGCCTTTTAATTCGAGAATTTTATCCATTTATGTAATTATCGGTGGTGTTGGATTTAGGTCTGTCATTTTACTCTTGATTTTCTGTTTGTCCCATTTATATTTTGTTCTCGACATCCTTTCTTACCCTCTGTGTTAATTTAATCATACTGATTTTATTTTAACTTGTCTGTTTGCTTTGTAGCTCTATCTCTTTGCATTACTTTTTAGTGGTTGCTCTAAGGATCACATTATATATCCTTAACTTTTCACAGTCTACTTTGAGTTAGTATTATTACCACTTCCATATTAGTACCTTACAACTTTTTAAGACATGTACTCCCCACTCCTGGTACTTTACGCTGTAGTTGTCACATATAGTACCACATCTATGTTCTTTTTAAACTCTGCAATGCAGTGCTATTTTGTTTTTGTTGTTTTAGATAATCATTTTAAAGAATTAAGAGGAAAGATAATGTTTTCTGTTTATCCACTGATTTATCTTCATCTATCCACTTGTTTATCTTTTCTGGTGCTGTCATTCATTCCTAAAGATCTGAGTTTCCATCTGGTACAAAGAACTTCATGTAGCATTTCTTGTAATGCAGGTCTGCTAGTGTTGAATTCTCTTCATTTTTCTTTTTTAAGTTTAAAATGTCTTCATTTCATCTTCATTCTTGAAGAGTATTTTTGCTGGATACAGAGTTCTAGGTTGGTTGGCTTTTTTTTCTTTCAACAGTTTAAAATAGACTTTCAAATATTTTTTACCCCCATTAAAAAAAAAAAGTCAGTGCAATAAATAATCTGTATGGCATATGCTAATTTTTTCTTGACTTTTTTAAAGATTTTCTCTACTTTGGTTCTCAGTAGTTTAACAATGACATGCCTAAATGTGGCTTTCTTTGTGTTTTTCCATCCTCCGGTACTTTGATCTTTTGAATCTGCAGATATGTATCATTCCCCAAATTCAGGGGATTTTTTTCAAATATTTCCTCTTGCCCATTCCCATCTGCTCTGTTTGTGAGACTCTGCTTTATTTTAGTCCCTTTGATATTGTCCTATATATTGCTGAGCCTCTCTTCATGTTTTTAATCTTTTTTCTCTATATCCTTCAGATTTGAAAATTTCTATTAACCTCTCTTTAAGCTCACTAACTCTTTTTTCTCTTATCTCCAATCTGCTCATCCAGTGATGCAGTTTGGGATTCCGCAGGACTACTGTCACTTCTGACATTACCTGCAAGCAGGGATCCCCAAGACTACCCCTAGGTTCAATAATTCACCAGAAGGACTTGCAGAATTCACTAGAAGCTGTCGTATTCACAGTTATGGTTTATTGCAATGGAAGGACACAGATTAAAATCAGTCAAGAGAAGAGGCGCATGGTGTGGAGGCCAGGAGCGCTCTAAGCACAAAGCTTCCAGGTGCCTCTGCCCGGTGGAGTCGTGGCCAGTGCAAGTCCCACAAGCAGCAATGTGTGGCGATACGCACAGACTAGTGTCAACCAGAAGCTTTCTTGAGCCTTGGTGTCCAAAGTTTTCACTGGGCCTTGGTCACATAGATATGGTTGACAACCTGCACGGAGGACCTTGGTTTCCAATCCATCTGGAGGTTGAGCCAAAGCTCCTACTATCAATCACATTGTTAGCATTGACTGTCTGGCACAGCCAGTACCCTCAGGTAAACGAAGACGCTCTTAGGCAGAACATTCTGTGGACTTAGAGATTGCCTCCCAGACCTGAGGGCAAAGGCCAGACCTATCTTTGGACAAGATTAATTCTTTACTGGGTAGAATTTATACCCCAAATTCAGGGCTGCCTACTGTGGCTCTCTGGGAGTTTTCTTCCGGTTCTTCAAGCCAGTGGGACTGTGTTTCTTCCTGAGTTTTAGCCTCATCATATCACATTAGTTGGGGCTTGCCCTTTGGTGCCCACCCCACAAATGCCCTCTGGCATTTCAAAAATGGGAAATTTACCCAATATCATTCCCTTCCTCAAAGGGTCCACTACAACTTCCCTATAGCTTCTCACAGCTTTTGCTTACAGTCCAGCGCTTCGGGTAGATTCCTCCCCCTGCCTCGTCCGTGCTCCCCCCGAGCCCCGTCTCCCCGCCAGGCTTTGGAGTTGTCACCTACTGGGGGGTGGTCTCAACGAAGCTGCTCCTCCATTACTGGAAGTCGACCTCCTCCTGTTCATTTTTAACTCCCTGCAATTTTGACTTGCACCTGATGTCCCCTGAGAAAGATCAGTAGTGATGCGCACATGGCCGAGTTGAGAGCTCTTTTGACAGTTACAGATTT